AAAGAAAATCAGTGATTTTTTTTGTTTTACAAAGAAAAAAACAGTTTTGATAAGGTCGTTTAAAAAAAAAACTTGTGTTTTTTTTAAAGTTGAGAGCAAAACTAGTCAAAAGAAACATATGCTGAAAAGGTGAAGTTCGAAAACAAAAAAAAAAGCTGATATCAGTTTGTGAAAAGAAGTTAATCGGAGTTTCTTAATTAGGGTTACTGAGCTTCTGCCTTGTCTTTTTGCTGAATAATCATTGTTTATGGCGGAAAGGTTTGTTTGTTCAAAAAAAATCCAACAACTTCAGTATATTGTCAACAATTTGAATGAATGTTGAGAATATCTTTTCCCACGCAGGACTAACTAAATGACTATTCGATAGTTACTTAGTGTTTAGGCAGAAGAAAAAAAAAACCAATTTTTCTCCTTTTTTTCTTTCAAATTATTGTATCGTCTTAAGCAGATAACTATTTTTTTCGAATTACATAGGCTAATGAACGTTTTAGATACAAATTTACAGAGTTTTTCTAGGCTTAGCAAAAAATGAACATAAAATTGACCATTTTAATCAAACTTATTACCTCAGCTAACTGTCATTTTGCTTTATTCATTTATTCATCTTTTGCTCAACTCTATTTTGTGTTTTTAGATCAGCAACAGATGATGAATTTTTTGTCATTCACAACTGGTACCTTAAGACAGACAAAAATAAAAAGCTGCAAACAATTACGGATTATACTTTCATTGAAACTGTACTGCTGTTAGGTTGTTGCTGTTGTATATGTATATTTCGACCTGATATCGTCTGATTCAAACTCGTCCTTTTTTGGGTGTCACTAAAAGAAAATAAATTTTATTTGTTTCACTATTAACAGAATTCTTATCAAATTCGATGATTTTTAGCAGTCAGTTAACATTGGGCAGCCGAGAACAACAAAATATGTAATTTCTTTTTGCGTATCTAAGAGAACTACAGGAACATTTGCTATCATTTATTCATTTTTTCTCAGCTATTACTTTGGTACAGTGACAGCAGTAAAGACAGCAAGATTCTTTGAAGTTTACAGATTTATCTGTACACTTTTATCAGATTTACAGATTTATTTTCACAGATTTATCTGTACACTTTTATCTTTCTCTTTTTCAACGATTCTGACAAAGTTTTTTGCTAAACACTTGTCGTTGATAAAAGAATTTGGAATATAGAATATTTGTTCTAAACAAATATATAAAAAGTTCATGACATGTTATTTTTAACAATTCAGTAAAAAACATTGATAGGCTGTCATGTTTTCGAACATAATGTTTAGTTAGTACTTCAATTGAAGTTCAGTAATTATCTACTCTAAAAAAAAAAAAAAATTTAGTTATTTTCCTGCAATTTCTCTCGTAATATAGTTTCATTTTCTCAAAAACATCTTCCAATTATCAATTTCAGATTATTCTTTTGTTTTCTTACAATTTCAACTTTCTCCAACAAAGCTGATAAAAATTCAAGTCGCCAAAATGTAAAATTTGAACTTTTAAATTATTTTCAACAATCAGGCAAAAACTCTTTCTAACGTTAAATTGTGCTTTGTAATTTAAATAAAGCATTCGTAAAGCCAACCGTGCATAAAACATCTGAATTTTGCAGGTACATTATAACAAACATCCACAAACCTTGTAACAGTTTATAGTACTTCCCATCACAGATCTCCAGAATAATACTATATTACGAAGCCCTTCATGTAGACTACATTCAAAAAAAAATTTTTTCTTTTAAAGTAAATGCATACTTAACTTGAGTTTCTTTTTCATATTTATTGCACGAGTTAATTTTTTGCACCGTACTGATTAACATCTGCCTGAAATTCATCAAATTTTAGAACTTTAATTCCACCTGTTCTCTTCACTGCTGGTGAACCCAGCTCATTCTTAATCTTCTAGTTGTTTGTCGTCTCTCATCAAAAACGTTGTTAATGACAAACCATCACTGTTTTTCATTGTTCCATGGTTTAGAAAAAGCAGCTGATAAATCAAGTCAAAAACCACCACAAAACTCTTTTTTAGCACCACTAATATGAGACAAAATGTTTGGTAGTTTGTGCTCCACTATTTGCAAAACATCGAGCAGTTATCTCTTTTGTTTCTTCAAACACTTTCATCTTGCTTTAAAATTTTTGCAAAAAAACAGTTGTGAACTGTGTACTTTGCTGCACTTTTGTTCCTGTGCCAAACAAAGCCTTATACCTTTATTAGCTGGACTTGGAATATCCAAGCAAAGCAACTTAAAAACGTTACAAAAATGCAGAGCAAAAAGAGCACTTGAACGCGGTGATAAACTCAACTCAACCACTCGACAACCGACGCAACAGAAGGCGCAGTTCACTCTATTACTGTGAATAACTTTAAGTTTCCGCAGTATGTAAAACTTTTCGATAAGACAGTTTATAAAACAAGACTCTTTTGTAGTCGTCATATCCAAACGTCTTCTAATGACTAAGCAAAAACAATTTATGCACCATTCTTTTGAGTTGTGAAGCAAAAAACTGGTAATGCAATCGTAAGTTGTGCTTTTTAAGAGGTTGTTGCGATGCACAAATTTCTCAAAAATCATAGAGATCACCATTGATTTCAATTCTTGCAACGAATTACTTCAATCATTTCATAAAAGTAAATTGAAATCATCTGCTCTTTGACGTCAAAAGATTGAAAGAAACTCATCAAAATTTCACAATGAATCAGAACCAACAGTAAATAGACCTTTAACAATAATTCCACTTTAATAATATAATCAACAGATTAAAAAATTTTTGTTAGAACCATAATCAAACCTAGAGTTTTCAAAGTTTTTTTTAGAAGCTATAGTTTATCCCACTCAACGTTTTGTTCGAAGCAGTCTTATTTTGCTCTGCGATAAGCTTTTTTCAAAAGCTACTCTTACGACAGAGCGTATGGAAAAAAACTGAGCTGCAGTTAAGCAAAAAATTGTGAAGTGGATAAGTCAAAAAGTTTACACAAGACGGTTGTGAAAGGTTTCGCAAAACTAGAATAAACGTTTTTTACTATGGAATAAAATCTTGGCATCAGTCATTCAAACTCTTGAGGTAATTTTTTGATTTTCAAAATGTCCCAACTTAGCAATCTAGAATTTTTAACTACTGAACTTGAATAATTTATTAGATTTATGCAAAAGACATTTTTTTCTTCAAGCCTTTTGCTTAAAACTATTGTCCAACTCAAGTTCCAGCATTAGTCATGAAACTTAGCAAATGATTTTTCCTATTGCAACTAAGTGCATTTGATGTCATCAGTTAAAAAGAACCGTTGAAAAATCTCTCCCTACGTCATCTGAATTTGATCGCAAAAAAACTGATGTAGTAATTTTTTTTTAGAATTGTGCAGAGGCACGTGACGCATCAATCCTCACTTGCCGTAAACTAAACGACCTCTGCAACACCGGTCATCATTTTTACTCAGCAATGTCCCAAACGAACTGAACAGCAGCACAGTCAGCTGCAACTTTCCTGTCGTTAGATGAAGTATAACTAAACCGAAAACTGTATTCTCGAAACTAGGTTTTCTCCGCACGTTATCAAACAACGTCATACTTCTCATAAACAATTCGTGCCTCCCCTGCATCTTATTGAACAACATTTTCTTTCTCAGCAAGATGTTTCATGAGGTAAAACAAGTCGGTGTTCTTCAACCCATAATCGCGAGAAACCCCTTGCAATGACATGTAAAAAGGTACAGCAGATGTTACAGAGTCAACACCTCCTCACTCTGTTAAATAATACTATTCGCTGTCCAAAACTATTCATTTCACACCGTACAAAAGTAAAACTGATAACCTAATTATCGCACTTTCTTAACAAAAAATCTTTTTTGAAACTATTTGACTCTAGTTGCTTTCAGAAATCTGCACAGATTCTTGTTTAGTACTTCTAGCCAGTTACTTTACAATCTCTGTACTCGTACTGCGTTGTCAGAATGCTTTTATTAAGTGAAAACAGGAGATTAGCTAACACTGTGGTTCAAAAAACTCCATAGAAACACAGCCAAAAAGTGCAAAAAAAAAAGAACAAGAACACAAAGCTATATAGCTATTAACAGTAATAGCAAACAACATAAAAAACCATTCACTCTACCCTTCTCAATGTAGAACAATGAACGATTGGCAAAAAATTTCAAATGATTATTATTAACAATCTGCCAAATTTCATCATTGAACAAGTCTTTACGGTCCATGAAGTTCTGAGTCTATAACTTCTGCAGAAGGTAAAAACCCGATAAAGTAGATAGTAAAACGACAAAAACCCAGGAACACTAAACTGTCTTCTTTGATGATGAACTGACAGCCGGCAACATTGTTTTCTTCTCTGGCAAATCGGTAATTTTGTGTTCTGTAGCAACACCTCTGACAGGTTTCCGCACAATATAAGCATTATAAAAGAAGTCCACGAAGAGATACAGGTAACTGAGGTACATCAAAGCACCAATGGTAAGAACATTCCATCTACAAATAGAGCACCAGGTTTAGGCAAATGTCTGATTTTTTGAGCAGTCTTCAGTGAATGTTACCATTCTTTAAAACACCTATTAATTTGATGATAAAAAGAGAAAATAAGAGAGACATGTAGAAACCAATTGTTAAAATTAAGTTCTAATGTCCTCAACTGTCAAATGTATCAGGTATAGATCATCAAGAAAACAAATGGGAAAGCAAAGCATTTGACAGTAGAAGAAAATGACAGATCCTATCTGTCAGATCTAGATGTATCCAAAAAAGCTTTCTTTTCTAAAAAAAAAAAAAATGAACTGCCTGTCACTTTCAACGGGATATTGAACCACAATTTCCTTAATCATGAAAAATATCACTTAAGAAATACCAACAAATTAGCAAACATCTACATACTTCTCTACTATTATCACTTCACAATCTAAAAATTTGTATCTATATAAACAAACAAAAAACATCCAAAAAATCACTGGAAAACCTAAAAAGCGCCTTACTTTTATTTTTAAATTGGTATGAATCTTATATAAAATAGAAAAGAGCAATCTGGATTTAGTTTCATTTCGGTGGCTTTATTCTCCCAAAAAATCTTTGCAAAAAAGAAAGTAGTTTTTGAAGTCGCAGTTAAATTTTTATCACAATACTATCATAATTAAGCTGAAACTTTGACATATGCGAGAAAAATAGAAAATAAGCTGAAAAACTGCTAAAATAATCTGCAACAAGTTAAATCCGTAAGGCTTACGTGACATTGCAGAACGGAACCGTTTCGTAATACTTAATGTAGAAGAGATGTGCAAAAATAGCGACATTAATTATGAACTGAATGATCTGGATTGATGTGATGAATTTGGCAACATATCGAGGAGTTTTGAAATTTAACGCTCTAATTCCGAAGTAGCTGGAAAAGTGATACATTAAAGAAGGAAACCACAGATCACTATACATAACCACCACCACTGAGCAATTTTTGAAATTAAAAAATAACAAAAACAAACTTACAAGTACATTACAGTGTGAACCGTCAAGTTCAATGCCAAACTCCATCGACACCACGCTTGCAGCTCACTGTATGTTATCTGAGCATAAACGAACGTAAGAGCATGATGATACCAATGGACAAATATCACTGGACGTTTCCGGAGAACCAGAAACAATGTGTCGCCTAGTTCCGGAGCTTTCGACATCACAAACATCCATCCCCACCAACCAGTAGACGGATTGTTATAATACTCCGCGTTTTCGCAGTAAGAACCTTCAACGGTCGAATTCCTATCAAATTATTTTTCCAAACTTGATATAAAAGACTGCTCCAGTTCATTTTGAGGTGTAAACACCTAACAAAATTTGCATACCTAAGCCAAACTGAGAGGATTGTTGAAGCTAAATCTGGAAACTAAAAAACCAATAAAATGAAGCGGAAAGTCTCTGTTTCTTTTCGTCTTTAAAAATTTTGGAAAAGTAATTATCAAAAAGAACCACCATAACTGACCAACAATTCCTAGTTCTTTGATAGCCCAAAACAATTCAGGAACCAATTTATAGGCTGCTAATCCAGAAAAAAATGAAAAACAAAAATTCCACAACGCTAAAAGTCTCTGCAGCTGGAATGGTTCTCGATTATGCATCACTTTTTGCCCGAAGTAAACCATACAAAGATAACCCGCCGTAATCTGAAAAAAAATTTGAGATAAAAATAAGAATTGAAGAAAAGATATGAAAAGCTACCCTTCATATGAGATATGGACGAAAAAAAGTAACTCTACACAAATTCGTTTGACAAAAATACAGTTTTTTTTTTTTTTTTGCCTAAAATAGTACCATTATTTACGATTTCCATTAAACTGATACAAATGCAAAATTGAAACTGCAAAAACAAGTGGGAAAAACGAACTTTGTAGGATGTGGGTACCCAGTGACTCATGAATGAAACAGTTCGATCAACGCTCCATTCTGTCCCCAGGAGTATATCCATCATCCCCACGTATTCTGTGTTATTACCCGACATGGTATTTGAGACAGTTTTACCCTTTTACAAGCCTGCAAATCAAATACGAAAAAGTAGTGGCTGCAGGTTCATTTCACAGGGTTCAATCGCAAAGTTAAATTAATATATTCTTCTAGTGGCAGATTTAAAACTACTGTTATTTTACTTCCCTTTCATCCTGATTTTATAAGTAAAAGAAGAAAACATGAAAAAAAAAAACTGGTGATTTAAAATATGCAATTGGATTAG